GAGAACAACCCGTATGCTAAGCCAGTGACCTTGAAGTGCTATCGTTGCTTTCAACCCGGACACAAGTCCAATGATTGTCCAAATCGGCAGCAAGTACAACTAATTGAAGGGGAGCAAAATGACGACAATCTGGACGCTGAACAAGTGAACGAACAAGACTTTGAGGAACTTCAAGCGGATGAAGGTGAACCACTAGCTTGTGTCATGGAAAAACTCCTGATAGTGCCTCGTCAAACTGGCATCTCTCAAAAACATGCCATATTTCGTACCCGTTGCACCATTGGCGGCAGTGTCTGCGATTTGCTCATTGACAGTGGGTGCACCGAGAATATTATTTCTCGATCGGTAGTGCAAAAATTACACCTCAAAATGACCCTCAACCCACATCCCTATAAGATAAGCTGGGTAAAGAGGGGCGTGGAGATAGCTGTGTCCGAAATGTGCCGAGTGACTTTCTCAATCGGAAAGAGCTACGATAGTTTAATTAATTTAATTAAGAGTATATTGTAATTAGTAAATCAATAAATAGTTTGATGAATTGATAAATAATTTAAATTCTAATTGTATTATTAATATTGTTCGTTATTGATGGTAACTAAAATTGGAAGTAAAAATTATCCCTTAAATAACTAAAAATATAATTAAGGGTAGTTAAAATTTTGATAAGATTTAATTTTAATTCTCAACAAAATGTTATAATTAAAAGTACAAACTAGATTTGCATTTTCAGTGAATTAACCACCTTAAATGTTATAATCCACCGGCTGCGGTTTTGATATTGGGGTAACATTTTTGTTGGTTGCTTTGTCTTTTCTAAATGTCATTCATTTCATCACCATTTTTTACTAATAATTCAATGATTTATTTTAGTAAAGAAAATACTCCTCTATTTACAATTATGAAAAGCACTTAGTGATCTAGGGAAAATGACAACGTGATCATATTTTTAGTATTATTTAAAAAAATTATTAGGATGGATCAACAGAATTTGCTAAAGCAACACTCTACATGTCCGTTTAGGGTTACTAGCAATGGAACAAACTTTTACCAACTATAGAGAGACAGTGATGTCGGGACTTTGGTAATTGAGAAAATTTGTGATATGCATTGTAGCAGCACTTTTTGTTTCTGATGCAGGACTAATTGAATTACATGCTTATGGAATCATTTGAACATTGCACAACTATTAGATTAGAACAATTTCGGAATAAATTACGAGCAATTTCAACGAAGAATTAAAACAAAAGAGGAGATCTCTTGCGTAGGCTAAATCACATGCTCCAAGTTTTGACTTCTCAAGCTAGTTAAGAAAAATAAAACAATACGGAACAGTAGTTTTCAAATTAATCCCTAATCTAACAACGAGATTTAGGATGCAGAGAAAGCACACTCAATTTCTATGAATTACTAAGCTTAGCAAGAGCACTTGGAGGAGACTTTCATGATTACGATCAATCCAGTGAGAATTTAGATTTCAAAGAAATAAGATGCAAGTGAAGAAAGAAACCTTTGTTAGGATTCACCATTCGTGAATGCTCAAGGATGATCTCTTCCAAATAATGTCAACAATCTCGAACTTTGTTGTAGAGAAAGAAGTTTCTTTAATAAACGGTTGGGGATCTACTTCCAATTGTTAACCTCAAAACCTGAAATTGTGTTCAGGTTTCGCTCTAGAAATCTGAGAGAATTCTTAGATTAATGGGTGGGAAGGAGAGGATTGGAAGGAAAAACTCAAGGCATCCCAAGACTTAGCTTAATGAGAGCAGGTGAGATTGGAGAGGAGAGGAGGCGGGTCTGAGTGGGAGGAGGGTGTTGGGCGGCTAACAGAAAAAAGAGAATAGGGAAGAATTGATTTATTTCTTAAAGTGACATGTCCACTTAGGCAACAAATCAATCCAAGCAAGGTGAGTTGGAGAATTCGGTCAAGAGGGATCTATGGGTGATTTCAAATTATTTCCTGACTAAGAGATGAGATTAGGAAATAATTCAAAAGGATTAATGAGATAAGAAAAGAGGCTGGCGGCATGCATGGGTGAGTGGGTGAGTTAATGAGAGCCAATCAAGATTCCTAATTTACGGTTCTAAGTTTAGGAAAGATTTGATTTAAATCCTTTGAATTTAAAATTCAAATTTAGACTAAATCAAATACTTTCCTTAAATAGATGAGATAATTTAGGAAATATTTTGAACTCAAATTTGGAGGGATTTGAATTTCAAATTAATTCCAAATGATCCCAACCTAAATTAGGAAACAAAATAAGAGAGGATAGGGGATTAGTGGCCGGCGGCAATGGGGATTGGGGATGCTTGGCCTTGGGGTGTTGGGAAGTGGATGAGGGCTCGGGTGAGGGGCTTTGACCGTGAAGGGGGAGGAATTGGGTGGAGGGTTTTGGAAGCTCGACGATGAGATGATGATAAGATAAGGAAGATAAAACCACGAACCCAGCCGTCTCCAAGGTTGGTGGGTGATACGCCAATCTCCCTCTCCAAGGGATCTCTCCAAAACTCTCCAAGAACTCTCAAAGGCTCTCAAACACAAGTGCAGGAAAAAAAAATTCATAATCATTCATTAGCTCAAAACAAAGGAAATGAGGCTATAAATAGCCGGGTACAAAGACTCAAGAAAATAAAAGACCAACTTGCCCTTTGGGCTTACATGCGACCACTCCCATGAAAGGGATACAAAGGGAAATAATAACGACATCTAAGCAAATAATAAAATGCATAAATAAAATAAAATACAATAATGACTCAGAAATACAAGGACTCGATCGTGGCCGTAGATCGGCGGCCACGTCTCTGATAAACCTTCCACGCTGATCTGATGTCCCCATCAGTTTCTTTTCTGTTGATGCAAATGAATGCTAGGCTTTTTTGGGATGGAGGTAATGCATGGAATTTTTATTAAATTTCAGGGGCAATTGTGACATTGGGTAGGTACTTTTTAGATGTATTTTTGAGCAGCAGAAAATCTTTCGCTTCCTGTAGCTGCTTTTGACAACAATTTTGGCCACTTGCTTTTTATAAAGAAGGGAGAAAACAATCACTCAAACACCATCCAGAAAGTCCAACAGCTGCCTTTTCTTCCGCTATAGGAAGAAAGCTTAAACAGACAATCTTATTATTTATTAATGTAAAACATGGATAACTTGTAATATGGACTTGATGAATATTAATTTCCTTCACCATTTGCACTTGGATAATTTTAAAAGCTAACGGTTATGGAATTTATAAAATGTAGGTTGATATGACAATTATGAGCTGATGTTTTTATGGAATTAAGATTCATAAAGTTGATTTGGGCTTCGTTTGGGACAATTTTTTTATTGCTTCTTAAAACAACTTTCTAGTACAAAAATATCTAGTTCAAAAAATTTTTGTACTAAAAAACTGCTTTAGAAAGCAATGAAAAAGCTGTCCCAAATGAAGCTTTAATCCTCATAATATTTACATAAATTATGAATGATGTGAACAAACTCATTATCACACTTCCCACCATGGCCCCGAGGTTGAGTGTTTAAGCTCCCATGGCGGTGGTCATGAGTTTGAGGCTTTATATGCGGGTTTGTGTGAGTGTAAGATTAAACTTGCTCAAAGTTTTCACATTCTTTTTATTATTTAATTATCTCATATTTTTTACGCATTGACATGTAAATGTTGCTTAGGCAGTATGGTAAGATATATTAAATTCCTATAAATATTTTTTGAAACTTAAACTAAAACTTGATGTTAGAAAATGATAGTGCAAAGACACATAATGCTGAGATGCTATAAGTATAATTCATTGGATATATAAATGAAAAAAATATGCCATATTTATTATTACAAACACATGGCATGTTCATGCCCGTACACACTTCTATATTAAACACATTATCCTTCATATGAAAAAAATATCTGGAATAAGAGACAAAGGGAGCATAAGAGAGTTTAGTATGGAAACAAGAAAAGAGAGGAGTTTTAAACCTAAACATTTTCATTTACTGTGGTAGCATTGTAGCAGTTAGAAGGAAAGATTTTCTTTTAGCTAGTATAGATAAGTTGTCAATACAAAGAGGCGAGAGTGGCAGAGAGAGGAGAATACCTAGAGAATAGGGGAAGGGAATCTTTTCAAATTAATTTATCTTTCTTTTGTTCAATTCAGGTCATAAAACTCATATTTATTTGAATTCAATGTTAATTCAATTCTTGATAATTACTAGTATTCATATCATGAAATTTGAAATAAAGATAATTCTTTATATTTAGTAAAATAGAGTTAAAATAAATTATAATTTTATTCAAATTATTAGAAGATTTTAGAAATAGTTTTCTTGTGTTGTATCAAAATGTCTCACTATTTGTCCTAATTTTAGCAGTAGAATAGAAACAAGCTGTGCTAAACTGTGATGGACAGCAAAGATATGGATTGGGAAAGGAATAGCAGGAAACCTCTATCTATCTATCTATCTCCATCTCTCTTTCTTTCTTACTGACCATTTCTTCCACTATCCATATCTCCCCCATTTGCCTCTTGGTTGTGCCAGACTGTTCACGCCTTGTTCTCTCTCTCAGCCTATCTCTCTCTCTCTCTCTCTCTCTCTCTCTCTCTCTCTCTCTATCTCTGTGACCATACCTTTTCCTATCAATCTTTTAACTATTTATAACTTAGTCTAGCTCTGCTTAAAGAAAGAGGTAGGGAGGCATCTGAGGATGTACTTTGCCAAAATAGGCTTATTTGTGTTTAAAAGTGTCGGATATTGTTCTAAGTGGTTGCATACAGCTATTTTTGCTTCATGGTTGGTTTCCAGATTTTGTTTTGAGAGGCTAATGGTGCACAAATATTAGTTTCTACCTTGTAATTCTTCTTTTACTGCAAGACCCAAAATATTTGATTAACATAGTTATCCTTGCTGCATCGTGATGCAATACTTTCAGATCTGCAATTTCAAATCTCAATTATTCTGGCTAACAGTATTAATTTTCACAATGAAGGTTCATGATAAACATTTGTATTGCAGATCACCCAGAGCTAGGAGAGCAAGGAGCCCACCAAGAAGATCACCTCCAATACGCCGTCGCAGCCGTTCACCTGTTCGAAGACCTGCTCGTTCCCGTTCTAGGTCAATCTCTCCTCGCAGGTATGATAATGACTAAGAGTTTGAATTATCATTTTTGTTTATCACTCTTATATCTCTTATGCTATTAATTAGGATGTCTATGATATTGAATCAGATTTTGCTTTGGATCAAAATCAACGCTGACTAATAAGTCAAGTCCAACTTAGATTTTGGCTTTATTGAACTTATTTGCAGAAAAAAGTAGCTAGTGATATTAAGAATAGGCAAAGGATGTGCTTGAGTCATTGTTTAAAATTGCATAATATGAGGCCCGCCTTGAGTCGTGCCTCGCCTTGCTAGCATGAGGTATATGCCTCACCATATATATATATATATATATATATATATATATTATTTACTTAAATCCAAAGCTAAAGCCCCAAACAAATCACACCTTCATGGATCCTTGAGCCGTAGCAACTTACTCTCGACTAACTCGACCTCCAGCCTGCCGTCTTCGCCATAGCCACCACCGTCGTAACCGCCTTGGGTGATCACTTGAAAGCCGTACACTGCCACCACCTCTTCTAACAATTTTGGGCTGTTAATCTTATCTTTATGTTGATGACAAGCATTTATGAAAGAGGAAGATGATTGAAATAAATGAAGAAAAAGCAGATTGAAATGTATTGAACTTCATAGGATGAGTCAATAGAGAAGTCAATTTGTTATGATGATGATTCAAATAAAGGAGATATTATTACGTGCGGGTCCGGACATAATGGAGGTACCTTGGTGTATGCTTTTTGCTGATGATATTCTTCTTGTTGATAAACTAGAGAGGGAGTTGAAGGTAAACTTGAATTATGGAGGTCAATCTTAGAGTAAAGGTTTTCACTTGAGTAGATCTAAAACGGAATATATGGAGTGTAATTTTAGTAGTAGTAGGCCTAGGGGGGGGGATTGTGACTTTGGACGATCAAGTCATTAATAAGAGTACATGTTTTAGATATCTTGGATCTATTGTTCGGAGTGATGGTGAAATTGATGGGGATATTATCAGCAGAATTCAAGTTGGATGGTTGAAGTGGAGGAATGCATCGGGCTTTTTCTGTGATAGAAAAGTACCCCTCAAACTCAAGGGAAAATTCTATAAGATGGTGGTGAGGCCTGCACTGCTTTATGGTGTCGAATGTTGGCCATTAAAAGAGAAGCATAATATTAAGTTAAGGGGCTGTTTGGTTGCCTGAATTAGGAGTGTAAAGTAAAAGAAATACATGTATTTATTAAATTTTATTGTTTGGTTAATTTTGAACAGAATAAAAGAAAATCATTAGAAGCATTAGGCGTGTATTAGGGAGCCTGTTTTGTGCGAATTAGAAACCCGCTCGTTTTGAGCGGGTTATAAATTCACTCGACGAAATTCCTTCCGTCGTTCTTGTCCGGCTTCATTGCTTCGCAGGGAGGTCTAAGATTGCACGAGAGGCTTCTTCGGCTCCTTCACTCTTGTTCGACTTCGCTCCTTCGACGACGTTCCCTTTACCTGTCCGATCGGAAGTTCGGACAGTTCGCATCATCGTCGTTGCTGTATTCAAACTTATCGCAGCCACTGATCTTCCCAACCCTGTCCAGTCCGCCTCCTACAGGCCAACCGACCCCAAGCAAGCTTCAATCATCCTCACAATCTCCAGCGGCCGTACTCTTTCCGGCATCGCCAGCTTCTGTCTTTTCTCCCCTGTTTTCTCTATTGCTTCCTCCGCTTTGTTCTTCGATACTCTGACTTGTAAATGCTTGATCTTTCGTAAGTATTTCTGCACCAACTCCACGGAATTTGACGAGTTCTTCTCCTCCGATGTCATGGAAAAGTCGACGGAATTGAAGAGTGAGATGTTACTGTTTTCTGGTAAAGTAGTGTTAAAATTGAGTTCTTTATCATGGCTGTCGTTGTCTTCGTCTTCCGAATCATTCTCCTCGCCGGAAATCTCTTTGGCAAGGATGAAGTCCAGATCGAAGAATGGTCCCTCGTCGTCGGTCGGTAAATTTTCGGTCTTTGGCGGGGGCGAAGATTTTGGCGAGGTAACAGAAGCCGGCGTGTTGCCAGCTGCTTTCCAGAAGTTTGGCAGACATAAGGAACAGAAGGATTCCATGGATGGATTTATGAGAATTCATTAAATCCCATCTCGGCAGATTTAAGGGATTTATAGATATATAGGGGATTTAAGAGTTTGATGTTACCTTCACAGCGAGATAGCTCCTGTCCTGACATTAATTTAGCATACCATGTGAATGTTGCTATTTGTCTCTCTATCTATATATGTATCCGATGTTCAGCTACTCTGTGAAGATTAAAATTAAGAAGAGTCGGTTTTTTCAGTTGATTTCTCGACTGGTACGAGTTCAGCTAGTTAAGCTGTTTGATGGTTTTTTTTAATTGTAGGTGGGTTAGTATTGGAATTTTTTATCATGAAGTTGATGCATGATATAGCTTAAGAAAATTTTCTATTAAATCCAAGCCTCAGATTTAGTATATAAAGTAGAAAATGAGGTAGCCAAATGGCTTGTCTGAAACACTGTTCAAATGTCTATAACTTTGTTAGACCGGTCCACTGGACCGGTCCAGCCGGTCCAGGCGGGACCGGTTCACGGGCAAAATCGCAAAACAGCTCCGCCTGGGCGGAAGCCGCGCGCGAGACGCACGTCTTGCGGGACGGTTTCAGGAAGGAAATTTGAGGAAGTTTAGGAGGGAAATTGATTGCAGGGACTGTTTAGGGAATTCCTTTTGAATTGTATGCATTAAATAATTGATTTGGCTAGGGTTTGGGCATATGAAATTTGGCTGAAATTTGAGATCTCTTAGATTTAGGTTTTCTTTGGGCTCTAGCGGCGTCTAGAGATTTGGGAGAGATCGATCCTCCTCTCGAATTGAGGATCAATTTTATCTTTGCTGTTTTCTTCTTCTACTAGTAAAATACAAGTTTTTCCTACGAATTTCTCTCAATTTTCTACAGTTTTTCCGCTGTTTTTACTGTTTTCCTGCTCCGGACAGCAGTATTTCGTGGAGATTTGCTGTAAAGGTGAATAGGAAATACTTGATTTCAAGTGTTTCCTATCAAACTTCTACATTGGAGTATGAGGACTTCAATGCTGCATAACTTCTGCATTGGAGATTTTGCTTCAGCGAATCCTTTGCCTTTTCTGAAGCATTTTAAAATTTTCTGAAGGATCTCTTTAAGTGGTACATTTATAGAATCAATCAAGCATTGCAAAGATTGATATTTCTTAAATTTTTGCATAAATGCTTTGAATATGAAATTTTTTGTTTATATAATTTTATGTGTGAAAGGTTACCGCTCAAAGTTCTTCTCTTGATCCTTTCTAATTTTCGACAACATCTAATACTATACATTGCCATTAATAAATTACGTCATGTTTAGGACTTACATGTATTGATCATATTTTATAATACACACCAGAATTTTTAATCTTAAAAAAAATTATAATAAAATCGTGCAATAAATGAATACACCGATTTTATTTTATAACATCACATAATACTAATTATGAAAAATACACTGCTTATATAAATTAACTAATTTTAATGCCAAAACAAATTATTAAGAAAAAATGCTTTTACTTTACTCTGTAGATACCTAACCAAACAAGAGAAACAATTCTCCTGCATTTATTTTGCAGACAACCAAACGGGCTCAAAGTATTCGGAATGCATTACATTTACTTTACATTGCATTTACTTTACACTGCATTTCTTTTTCAGGCAACCAAACAGCCCCTAAGTGTGGCAGAGATGAGGATGCTCAGGTGGATGAGTGGCTTTACCCTTAGAGATATGATACAAAATGAGCATATACGTGAAAAGGTTGGAGTAGCTCCAGTAGAAGATAAGATTAGAGAGAGTCGCCTTAGATGGTTTGGTCACATAAAATGGCGGCCTTCCAATGACCCGGTTAGGAGAGTAGAGGTATTAGATTTGACTTATGTTAAGAAAGGTAGAGGCGTACCTAAAAAGACTTGGTTAGAAAGTATTATGAATGACCTTTCTTTATTAGATTTAAATGAGAATTTGACTTTTAATAGGACACAATGAAGAAAAAGGATTCATATAGCCGACCCCACGTTGTGGGATAAAGGCTTGATGATGATGATGTTGTTGTTGTTGTTGGAGTCTGGACACAGATAAATGTTTGGTTATGTGACTTTGAACAGTAAAAACGCAGTGACTGTTCACCACTGCGCTTTATGAGTTATAATCTCCCCAAATAAAGACCTCATAGTGATGATATTACATATGATTTATGAGTTTTTGACAACTATTTTAGCTTCCTTTAAAAATTAAATATGGATGAGTAAGAAATTAAGAAAGTAAGAATTTGAAGTTGAACTTAATGTTATATGACACTTCTTTGCAATTCCTATATTTATTATTGTTCTCCTCTTATAATATTTGGATTTTAATTTCATTTCATTCAATTTATCATCTGTCATTTTACATCTTGTGCAATTTTTTGTTTCATATGTATGCCAATTTATTTATTTATAATTCAATAGAAAGTTAATATATCATCATTTAATATATTATTTGGGTATTATATAAAAATTGCTTTTAACTTTTATTTTCACTTTACGTTATTTTTTTATTGTGAGGTTTATGCCTCAAAACACCTTGATGCCTCACAAACGAAAAAAATACCTCAATACTTAATTGCGGAATTTAAAACCTTGCTTGGAGTATCAAAAAGAAAAACTAATAATAGTAAAAATAGTTGGTGATGGAATTAAAATGTGCAAGAAAAGATAAAAAATTAGAAGCTTTGTAATAAAAATTGGTTTGAATATAAAAGCTTGTAAAATTAGGAAAGATATAAAGGGGCCCGTAAAGAATCTAAGAAAATAATATACGATGCAAAGAATTTAACTATTAAGATTTATATAATGGATTAGATGTAAGGAGGGTGAAAGATGTATGTATAAGACTATAAGTTAGCCAAACAAAGAGATATAAAAGTACATATTTAATTCAATTGAAGTGCAAAGGATGAAGATCAAAAAGTGCTTTTGTTATAAGAGGATTTTCAACAAAGGTGGATGAGATATATCAATAAGCTTTTCAATGATTATGAGAATACTATTTATTTTAATGATCTTAGCATCTTAAATGAAAATGGAGAGGTTTGTTTTTATTGTTGTACTAGTAAAACTGAAGTTAGAGAGGCCTTAAAGAAAAAAGATGTGTGGAAAAGTGATTGTAGTTGATGATATTCTAATAGAGGCGTGAAAATGCTTAGGAGATGACGAAAATTATTTGTTTAAAAAAATTTTCAATATAATTTTGAAACTAAAAAGACGTCAGAAGAAGTGTGTTGATTCTTATTTTTAAGAATAAAGGCGATGCATAAAAATGTGTGAATTATAGAGGAATTAAGTTAATGTGTCGTACTTCAAAACTATGGGAAAGAGTTTTGAGCATAGGTTACAATGTGATATTAAGGTTTCTCAAAATCAATTTGGATTCATGCCGGGTAGGTCTTCAATGAAAGCTATATATTTATTGAGAGGTTTTATGGAGAAGTATTGAGAGAATAAAGAGGATTTACATATGATATTTATTAATTTAGAGAAAACATATGATACAAGTTTCAAGAGAAGTGCTATGAAGAGTTCTAGAAAAGGAAGGAGTTAAGAATGGTTATATTCAAGCCATTGTTGTTACTTGTGTTCAAACACAAGGTGGTTTGACCAAGTATTTTCTTATTTCAATTGGATTACATCAAGGATCAACTTTAAGCTCATATATTTTTTACTTTAGTCATGGATATTCTTACTAGACATTTACAAGAAGATGTTTCTTAGTGTATGCTTTTTGCTGATGATATCCTTTTTGTTGATAAGATTAGAGAGGGAGTTGAAAGAAAGCTAGAATTATGGAGGTCAACCTTAGAGTCCAAAAGTTTTCATTAATAAGAGAGTACTCGTTTTAGATATCTTGGATCTATTGTTCAAAGTGAATGCGAAATAGATTGAGATATTATTAGTAGAATCAAGTTAGATGGTTGAAGTGGCAAAGTGCATCGGGCTGTTGTGTGATAGAAAAGTATCCCTCAAATTTAAAAGAAAATTCTGTAAGATGGTGGTGAGACCTACAATGCTTTATGGCTCAATTGGTCATTAAAAGAGATGCATTAAGTGCTACTGAGATGATAATATTTAGGTAAATAAGTGACTTCACTCTTAGAGATAATGTGAAATGAGTATGTACGTGAAATGGTTGGAGTAGCTCTAGTGACAAATAAGATTTTAGAGAGAGAGTCACCTTAGATGGTTTAGACACATAAAACGTTGGCCCGGTTATGAGATTAGATGTATTGGATTTGACCTATGTTAAGAAAGAGAAAGGTATGCCTAAAAAGAATTGGCTAGAAAATATTAGAAATGATTTTTTTTTATTAAATTTAAATAAGAATTTGACTCTTAACATAATACAATGTAGTAATTATTCATGTAGCCGGCCCCATATTGTGGGATAAAAGTTTGATGTTTTTGTTGTTGAACTTATTTGGGAAATTATATGGAACATAGTTTTGATTCCATCCACACTCATATGGATTTCACATATTCTAATTATTGGAGCAGTCTCCCTTTTCATCATGCAAATGTTAGGGCTATGAATTGTCCAAAAATTGCTTGAAAATTGAATTAGACTTTGGCTTGGATCAAAATCAACAAGCTGACTATTACGTCAAGTCCAACTCAGATTGAACGTAATTGAAACATATATGTCAGTTTAAGCTAGCTCATGATTGGATTAAAATATATATGCTTGTATTTATAAATGCATGTTGACATATTTACATATATATTTAGAATTTAATTCGTGTGTGTATATTTTATATATATATATATATATATATATATATATCATGTGTAGAGCTTTTATTTGTTTGTACACCTTGCTTGTGCATGTAATGAAATTCATGCAAGTCATTTTTTCTGTGTACTTTCTTTATCCATATTCAATTTTCTATGGTTTTGAAATGGTGATGTTTGTTTCTATCTTCTAATTTCTATAATTTTTTATAAAAACAGGGTTCGAGCACCTCTTAGACGGGGCAGATCTTCATCCGTCTCAAGATCACCTAGTCCTCGGAAGGTTGGTTTCTTAGTATATTGTCATCAGCAAATGTTATTTTCCCTTCATTTTGAACTGTTTTAAGTGTGTATACATCAACTGACTTGAATTTCTGGCACAGGGAGCTCGCAAGGTAACCAGAAGTCGCAGCCCAAGAAGGTTTGTTAAAAGGTTTTCAATATTGAGATTTTTTGCACCTTGTACCATTTCATATATATTTTGCAGACATCGCATCCATTGCAATTATTATACTATTAGTTATATCAGTATCACCAATAGCATTGCTTTGAGCTCAACTTAACGACTTGATGTTACAGCCTTCTACAAACCACCAATGAACTTTTTATTTTTGTTTTAATTATTTAACTAACAGGCTATTAAAAAGATTTATCATTTATGATGCATTAATATCTTGTAATATTAAGATATCACATGCATCTGATAGAATTCAAACACCCTGTTGGCATGTTTGATTGACAAAATTATAATTAAATAGAAAACATATATGTTGTAGGTTAAACGAAGTAGTGTTGATGAGAACAAAATAGAGCAGGAAACTAAAAGTGACTTTTAATTTTAAAAGAAATAATTGAAATTTGTCTTTAGCAATTGATTTTTTTACAAATAATGTCTCTTTAATAATGTTCACTTTTTTATTTATTTTGCAGAATATCAAATTTATCATTACATGAATTGAATTGTATATATTTTTCATTTATTTAATTTGTGCAATTATTATATAAAATTTTTAGGTATTTTAAGATGCCTGTTAATTAGGTGTTTATGTTCTAGAAATGAATCAGCATCTCCTCGCCTGTATGAGGGGCTCATCATATATTCTAATCATTAAAAGTGGGCCACTGTGTTAATGCATTTTTTCTTTTGTATTTCTGTTACCCTTATTGAAGACCTGCTCGAGGAAGATCCGTAAGCAACAGTCCCAGCAGCAGTTCTGCCTCCCCTAAAGGACCTAAACCTTAGTATGCGACCGGTACTGAAACAGGTAAGCTCTCTCTCTCTCTCTCTCTCTCTCTGTCTGTGTGTTTTTCTGTGTCCACTCCCCTCTCCCATATCATCCGTACTTGCACCCTCTAGCTGCAAATTCCACTAGTCTTGCGGGGGTGTAGGAGGTTAAGAATAGAACTTTTGATGCTGCTGGACGACTATTATTTTACGAGTTGCCATTTATTTTGAAATTGAGTTGTTGAGAAAACTTCTAGTATGAAAACTATGTTGCAAAGCTCTTTATTTCAAGCGAGGCTCAACTCCGATTTGTTGCATGATACAGTACTTCAAACTGTTGCATCATCTCCTTAAATCGTTTCTTCTGGGATTTTAATGATGTTAGAGAACATTCTTAATTTTATTTCTGACCATGCTTCATATTCTGCTTTACCCGATTTAGATACTGGCAGGCCTTTTTTTCTTTATATTAACACATTCTGCATCTGTGTTAGTTGTGGCTGGTGTATAAAAAAAACGAGTCAATTTGATAGTTAAAGGAATTGCCCCCAATTATCATCCGGGCTAACTTAATCGACTCAATTGAGGCACTTGTAGTCGTCGTAAGAGGCTCTATCGCTGATCACTGGCAACAGGCCACCATCCCTGATGAATAAAGTTAAAAAATAAATTAGTTGAGGACGTAAAAATAGTTCTTACAAGATCCATATATATGATTCAAGTAGAATTATTCGGATGATTTTAGACAATTTCTAGAGCTCTTGATCTAATTTTGAAACTGCGTTAATTGTGTGTTGTTGCTTAAAAAAATGAATGTTACACTCACTGATGATGTAAGCGATGATAAAGGACATCATTGATAATTCGAATGCCACTATTTGATTTAAATGATGCTCAGCCACGATGAGGGATTTAAATCATGCAAAAGGAGCTTGGTTGCTTTGTAAATGGTTTTTATTTAATCAATAAATCGAGTTGAATCTTTAACAAAGCTTTATTAAAGGCAATATCTTAATTTCCTACAATCTTTACTTGATAAGAAAATTTGGAATTTTTAAATTTTAGTATAGGCATACTGTAAGTTTACTGTACGTTTAGTACGTATTAGAGAGATTTTTACTATAATATAATTAGTTATCTGACACAAATCCTACGGATTTCGTCATTAATACGAGTCTTGATTTTATTTTATTCATGTTTTTAAATGAAACACTTGATCCTTTTGCTAAACAAGTATTGATGAGTCAAGTGAAAAATTAGTTTTCTTCACAAACTAATTTTTTTTAATTTTGTTCCAAAAATGCTGCCTAAAAAGGTCATTTCTGCGCAAATTACTTGATTATAATTTCTTTTTGTACTGAAAAATGTTAGATTGAAATCGGTCTTTTTTGTGTTTTTGGTTTATCCAACCGACCAGACCCGCTTGATTTAAAGTTTTGTGTTAGCATTACACACCATGCCAAAGGTTATATGATCAAGATCATGAAATCTAACCTTTGAGCTTGACTGGGAACTTGCTTATATCAAGTCATTTATTAATTCGGGTATACTCGACTCTTAGAATCAGCAGATGAATTTAACTTCATAAGTCCATCAGAAAGTCCTATTTTTTCCATTCCATCTCCTAAGCATCTTATATATATATATATCATCCTTTTTTCGTAATACAATGCTTTAAATCAAAATTTAAAATCGATTTTAAATTAACACAAATCTTTTTTTTTTTTTTTTAAATTAGAGGCTTAGGAGATGTTGTTTGAAGTTTTTATTTTTTTATTTCCGTGAATCAACTTGCATCCCCTCATCGCGTTTGGCGCAGGATGTATATTGAGATTGTTATTAAACTATGCAATTTATTTAAATAACATTATCTCAGAATTTTGATTATAAGTATCAAGTTCTAAATGAACCCACACATTAGTAGAATATATTGAAGATAATAATAATACATGATTACATGGCACCGTGGTGAATTTTACAAACATCATTATTATAAGTAAGTCGTATATGCAAGCTAATGTATCTATCACTATGAAACCTCTAAACTATTTGCAATCCTAAATAATTAACATTAGCTATTTCCTCACTCGCATATTTCTTACAATATTTACAGTATTTACAAGTATGTGCATCATATTGCAGAACAACTTAGGTAGACTTTATCCTGTCCAAACGAAACTTCCTCTGCAAAATTTTTTTTTTTTTTTAAAGAAAAGAAAGGATGTTAGCAAAATGAAATATAATAAAATCAATATAATAGCATATATCTGATCCATATATACTGACCAGAAGAGCATTAATTTCATCTAACAAAGGCCGAAGCAATGAGACCAACATTTGGATGTCATCTTTTAAACTGTTGCAGTCTTGCTCATCATCGCTCATTAGGAAGCTGGAGAATACTTCCTTCTCTGGTATCAGCTTTAAAGCTACCTATCAATTTCCAACATTAAATCTTCATACATCCAGTTCAATTCATGCCTACATGTATTGAAGTTTCATTCTTATGCTTAACAAAGCCTAAGAATAACTTTTTTAAACTAAGATAATTATTTATAATCCATTTAGGTATGCATGAGCAAAAGAAGATAGTAATTGAAATACTTTGTAAGCTGCTGAGGAGATCCAGCCATGCCATGGCTTTAATGTGCTCTTGTAAGATTCTTCCACTATTTTCTCCAGGCTCCATTCCGATTCCTTCTCAAGGAACTCAAGTAGTGCTAGGCTAAAATTCAATGATCTGACCATCATATCACAATATTTTATTTATTTATAATTAGTTATTGAATAAGTTCAAAAAAAAAAAAAGAATTAATAGCCGTTTTAGAAGATAGAGAGAGAAAGAGAAGACCACCTGGTTAGCCATAGAATAGCCCTTGAGCAGCTATCACGCTTTCTTGCAGTTCCATCATCCATTTCTTTCTTTAATATCTCACCCAAACTTGAATATAGTGATGGATCTATCAAGTAGATCTTCTCCAATCTCTATTTGCAACACACAACAATACAAAATCAATATAAGCACTGTACTGTAAGATAAACTTGATTTTAAAATAACATAAATTTTCTTTTGATGGACCCGAAAAAGAAAACTATTATTACCTCTATATTTCTCTGGACATCCTGTCTCAGTACTGCCATTGTTGGCCCAATCTTATCTGTAGAGTGAACAGAAGACAGAAATTATACAGATTCATAGACTCCACTCCGTCGTTGACGAGGATCACAAAGAAATTATGAAACAAAGAACACAAAGAGAGAGAAAGTGTGTGTGTGAGAGAGAGAGGGTCAGACCAAGGATATGGAGGAGAGACTTGGAAGGGGCGAGGAAGACGAGTGTGGAAGGCTTGTGCTCCTCATGCTTCACTGCTACAGAGAGCTCCTCTGCGGCAAGCCTTATCTCTGTGGGGAATACATCTCTTTTGGCTTCTACTGCTTTCTTCATCTCTCTCTCTCTCTCTCTCTCTCTCTCTCTCAGTTGCTTCTTTGGCGAGCTCGCTCTTCTCTTCCTCTTTAGAAGGATCAGTTGAAGAAATAAAACTTGTAAGGTCAAAGGAGTTGCTTTCGTCACTCCCGGTTGCTGTTATCCCTAATTTCAATCCTGCAGCCTCACGCCTTCCATTATTATAACAAAACAACGCCGGTTTTGTCATTTTCGTCTCGCCGTATCCACAATTTTTCTTTTTTAAATTTCACATCCTTTTTTCTTTATATTTTCTGGATTTTTAAATTAAAATATCCTATATTCTAGAATTCTATATAGTTAAAAAAATTTTGAAATACGGAAATTAACATATAGAAATAATTCAGTTATAATTTTTATCAATAAAAATAAGTGATGTAAATATGATAAATTATCATAGGGTTACTTCTGTGTATTGTAATAATGTAAAAAAAAAAAATATTAAAAAATTCAAACGGCAGCAACATATAAATTCCAAAAAGACTTTGATTTGTGGGCAACACTAAAAATAAATACAGCTAAGCTCAGCACCATTTGGAATTACAATATGTGTGATTTGATTTAGTCAGAAAACCCTAAAGCAACTAATTAATATTTAATATGTGAAAATTATATTTTCTATAAAAATCGTTGGCCTTTGGGCATAAGTTTAGGGCACACGATAGGCCCAATGCTGCGGCAAAATAATCGGATTGAAGAGAAGCTGTTGATTTTTCAGTTTTTTTATTTGTGGTGGTTTAGGGTATTTATTTACAAATTACAATTACAATTATAATTACAATTACAAGGACGTTTTGATTTTGAGAATTTAGTCATTATTATTTTGAATGATGGAATAAAATATTAATTTGAGTACGAATATGTAAGTTTATTGTGTGGACTTTTATAAGTAGATATCCGTTGCTTATGAATCTGATATTTTTTAAGAGAGCTATCTATATTTACCGGCCCGAGATCATAAATTAATATAAATATTCGTATGCTCACCTAAAAATTAAATCTGATCAAACAAACACGAATGGCTATGTAATATTCGGTTCGAAATATTTATTTGGGAATAAATTTATGAACATCAAAACTCTGAATTTTTTTGTCTGCTTTTGCCCCGTTATCTGATTATGACCCTCAAATCATCATTGCCCCAATCAAGTCTTCTAACCACATTCACTCGATTATAGTCATTCGATACCATCTTCCAACTATAGTCCTTCACCATCACTTAATTACAACCCCTTGACCACTATCTCCTGACAACAATCCTCCAATCAATATTACCCGATTTTTTTTTTTTTGGACATTTAGGCCATTTAAGGCAAACTCACACACACAACGCATACACATGGACTCGAACTTGAACCTCTTAGTTGGAAGCCTAAGCTCTCAACCAATAGGCCAAGGGGAGTTGTGTATATTACCCGATTTTAGTTTTTCAACTTTTGTGACTTGACTATGAAACTTTGATTGTTGTTATGTAACTGTAGTCTTTCACATCATCTACATACTATATTCATGTGACCACCGTCGCCCAATTACAACTTTTCAACCATCATCATCATCTTACTATGGTCCTCCAATCACCATTATTTGAGTATGATCATCTGACCACTATCCTCTTACCAATGTCGCTCGACTGCCATCCTTTGACCATCATCTTTCAACTAAAACTAAAGGAGTTTACTAAAATATGAAATAGTGAATATGTGTAATTAAGATAAGCATCATAATTGCTCACAGATGATTGAAGACGCAAATGAATCATCACCATATATTTATGGGAAGCAATTACTATTAAAAAAAAAAAAAGATTGAGAAGTTGTTATTCATTTGAACAAGTAATAATAGAAAGAATAAGTATAGATGTCCCATTCCCATCACACGCTTAAAAAAATATTCTCTCACCATCTTATCTCCATCTCATTCTACTCTCCCTCCCATTTTTTCTTACACTTCACAATCTATAATATCTGAATAATGACTAATAAAATACATGAAAAAAACTTGTTTCTTTTTAACCAATTTTAAGTGTCTAAATACAAATATGATATAACAGTAAAAAAGCATGCTTTTAGGATTGATTATAGAAAAAGGATTTAGGCTTTGAATACTTCAAAAAAAAAAAAGTACTGCACTTCATTACTATTATCAACATATGCTTGTTATCTGCATGCAAAATATGTGACATAAACCTTGACAAGAGCTTAAGAGCATAAGAAGTTTTATTTAGCCATTTCTACTAATATAATGCACTTCCTTATTACTTTCCCAAAACAATTTCTGATGCCAAAACAATTTTATTTAAACTAAATTATCTTATTACTTGTGTTCTTACGATGATCATGGATCATTAAAGTATAACTTTCCATTATTTTATTGTTTGAAATAATTATCAAGAGGTTCAGGTATAATACCTTAATTAGCTGGTGCAGTTGGAATTCCAATCCAAGCAATCTGTTACAAAACAGCGAGAAATTTTAAAAGAATATAGAACTGTTGCTATCATTTCTACCTTCCAAATCAGACGTTATTCTAAAGGTACATACTAATTGAAAAAAATATGAATAAAAAAGAACGCACTTTGGATGCTATATTGAACAAAGAAAGGTAAACGCCAAGATGATTAAATAATATTTTTTGTTAAAAACATCAAAGAAAATTTCACAGAAGAAAAATAGTGACATGAGCATTCATACAACTACAACAACATGCTTTTATCCCACTACGTGTGGACAAAAGCAAAAGCATTCATAGTCAACGTAAATTTGGAGTAGACTATCAAAGAACAAGTGATATCATAAATTAACAAACTAAGCTCTCAATTAAAACACTGCACGTTATAGGACCACACCACATGCCTTTTGTTGACCCACACGCGAAAGGAGCAAAAATAGGCGACTTAAGTGACGGCCGATGGGCACGATGCATCATTTGAAGGGCCAAACGACCTCTGATCGCCAAATAGACTGCGCCATTGCGATCGGAGCATTGAATTCGCCTAAGCTGAACCACCTCGCGGTCAATTCGGACAAAAAAAGGGTCAAAATCGGAGACCAACACTTGAAATTGACGCGTCGCGCCGCCCAAACAATGTCTGACCGCGAAACGAACTTCATTATTGCATTCGGAGCATCCACAATACCCAAGAACGACCATAATTCTGCCCAACGGAGCTCATCCGGCGAAAACAGCACGAATCTCAAGGAATTGACGCACAAATTTCGAAAAAACACACGAATCAGGACAAATTGCCATGCAAAAACATGATATCTAATAATAATATTGCTACTATTATTACGATTACTATATAACAAAATTTAAAAAAATAAAAACACCTCTTATGCAAAAACACGAGCCCTCAACCTATTCTATTTGTTCCACTAAAATAGCCCTCACCCTTAGTCTCATATTTAATCACCTGTAGCCCGAGCCCAATCCTCTTACTCTTTTTCCTCCCAAATTAAACTAGCCACTTACTGTATTGATCCTACAGCTAATCTCCACTCCAACAACAGCTTTGTTTTCTTCTTTTCTCTACTCCTATTAGTCATTGTAATTACTTAGTGTTATTAACTAGTGTTATTAATTATTATTATTATTATTGTTGTTGTTGTAAAATATATATATATATATAAATGAAGAAAAGCAAAAAGAGAGAAAAAAAGAAGATGAGAGTAAAAAAGAAAAGAGGATAATGAAAAAGAGAGTAAAAAGAAAATTCGTGCATTTCAATCTTCGATGTCAACCCCTTCGTGAAGGTATAATGACTTCCAAACTCTAAATCCCTCTTTCGGCACTCATAGCGTGCACCAGAAAACTACTTATACACATTTTGTTTAGCGTGGTGGGAGGAAACTCAGTGCAAAGCTTGCGGCGAGGCGGGTATGCCCTGTACACGCTTTTATTAGCATACCAGGGACACTCCTAAGTACCCATACATGAACTTCTATGCTTATGAAAAAAAACTACGCATTTTAAAAAAGGAAAATCAAAGACACATACACTTTTCTTAGCGTGATGGAATTGAAGACCATGGCCGCGTTGTTGCTCTACACCTATCATACACGTTTTTCTTAGCGTGATGGGAAGGTCCAGCTTTCCAAAATTCTACTAAACAGAGGAGACATCGGGAGGTTGCCGAAATTTAGAGCAGACAAATGACCTGATTTAAACAAAACTACAAGAGACATAAATGACCGGCAAGAAACAAAACCCAAACAACTCACAAGGAACTGAACTTTAATTTAACAAACGCACAATCACATTAATGCAAATATTAATTAAAGAAAAGGAACATTCAAATGAACAAAAATGAACGAGCAATGACTTATGGTGAGTTAGGAAAAATTCCTACATCTCATTCCCAATAAATAATCAATATGAATATGTAATTTGATTGCAAATGATGTTGCAAAACCTTTAATTTACATATGGGCAACATGAAGCTTGCAATGCACACATTAGCCTGCCCGTGAGCAACGCCAGCAAACGAGCTTGTAATGCAAAAATTCACCTAGGACCGATGTTAGATGTTAGCTAACTTGCAAACACCTGCAACAGTTCCCACGAACACTGAAATATATGGAATCAAATGTAGTAGTTCGTTGATCAACATGCACAAGGAAATTGATGACGAATGCAATAGTTCGCCAATCAACAGGCAGGGAGGAATTGATGATGAATGCAACTAGGGGTGTCAATATTTGACACGACACGACAACCCGACCCGAAAAATCCGGGTTGGACCCGACCCGTTTGATAAACGGGTCGGGTTCGGGTTCACAGATTTTACCCGTTTGATAAAACGGGTCGGGTCGGGTTGACCCGGCGGGTTACCGGGTCAACCCGAAAATCCGTTTAGTTTAAAAAAATAAAAAAAAATGTTTCTGTACAAATGAGTTCCCCGATGCTCATTTGATGGATTCCTCAGCCACTCCATAACAAGCTCCATATTCTTGCTCCGCCCAATGAGATCATTTTTAGGCAAGGACCTGTTTCACGTGCTCCGTGCAGCTCAAGGTGCTGCTTCTGAGTTCTGACGCTCCTGCTTTGCGTGTTTTACCAGATGAAGGAAAGTATCAACACTACTTTATCAAGTTTCTGCACAGCCGTATATCTATTAATAATGGTGGGATCAATTTTGAGAGCACGTTTGCCAAATTTGAAAAAAAAAAAAAAAATTAGAAGAACACTGCCGGGTCGCGGGTCGGGTCGGGTCAACCCGGCAACCCGGCCGGGTCGGGTCCGGGTTGAAATGTCCGACCCGTTTGTAAAAACGGGTCGGGTTCGGGTTGACCCGTTTAGATACGGGTCGGGTCGGGTTCGACCCGAACCCGGCGGGTTGACCCGAATTGACACCCCTAAATGCAACTCACCCGATAATCATCGTTAATTTGCAAATGAACACACATTCGCTTGCAAACAATAACACTTACAGCTACCCTACGAATGCAATCAAAGAGACTGAAGAATACAATGACATGTTCATGAGCAAAGCATGAGAGTTAGGAAACAGATGGTGCAATCTCCCTACAGTCAATATTAACCTACGTATGAACATGTCAACTCATATGCAAATGTACAAAGAGCAATGTGTAATGAATGCAGCTCACCCTTACAGTCAACAACAAGTAACTATCTAGCAAATACGCTAACCCCCAGCAAGCAAAAGCAGTTAATATGCAACAAATGAAAATATTTATGAGTACCGCTAGAAAATTTGAATTCAACGCAGCTTTCCCACAGATAACAGCGGAAGGCTTGTAGAGCATACAATGGTCCCACTTACAAGCAATGATAGTAGATGTAAATGATGATTCCTCTACAGCATGAATAAGAGGATAGCAACAAGTACTACACATTGCTTATGCGTAGAAGTAACAAACTTGTGGTAAATGCAAACATCTACAAGCCAGTAACGAAAATGTGTCGTGTGCGCAGCAGTTAGCATACAACTGCTGGTGACCTCTGGATACCCACTAAAGACTTGCAAGCAAATTTAATACGGCGTCAGCTCGGGCGGGAGGACGGGGTCGGCCGGAGTCGGGGGAGATTAACCGGCTTGGTTGCAGTCGGTGGGCTTCTTGCGGACGGGAGATCGAGAGGTAAGTTCTGAAAACTCCGTTTCTCTTCTCTCTGTGCGTATGTGTGTGCCTTGGAACCGAATGAGAGGATCTATTTTTATGTCGTGAATGAGGCGGTGGGTAAGTCGACAATGGAGCGGTTTCAATCATGAGGTGGGACAGGGGGCGGTTACGTGAGGGATCGGAAGAGGCGACGATTGGAGTGACCGTGTCGTGGGTTTGTCGGTGGGGAGCCGTTACAGTCAACAAATGCCCCCCAACAAATATGATATGCGCTCTATAGCAGATCATGTTTGTTGTAAAGTGGTTGACCCTACGGATCTCTAAAATTTAATTTTAGATGTCACATAGAGGGTTTTTTAGATATCCTTGATTTATCTTTTTGATTTATCAGGGATTAACATTTCTTCTACCCTAGCTTTGTGCTTTCATGGGCTTGATGAAGAATCTATATTGACGACCTAAATTCTTTAGAATGATATTAGGTCGGTGGCAAATAGTCATTTGTCCAAAGCTTTTAACATGATGGACTTTGATGATGACAATATTCCCTTTGGTTCAATCTATGACTTTGTAAGAACTGTGGGATGACTTCTTCGGTCCTAAGCTTTATGCTTTGTTGGACATGTTGAAGAAGATAAGCTCATTCGATCTTAACTTTGTGCTTGACAAATTTATTGAAGGATAATGCTTCTAAATTTGATAGGAGTTTTCATTGCGGCTTGGTGCCTTTGATTTGGTTAAGATTTTTCTTCTGAATTTTGCCTCAATCTATTTGTTAGTTGAGGAAATCTTCTGAATCTGATTTGCTTTGATTTATTAAATTTGACAAATATCAAACTTGATAGTATTTGTCATCGGGCTAACAAAACAAGTTCTTTTCTACTACGGCCTCTTATCATGACTTGTTGAGTAGGTAAAGCTCTCAGTGGCTCGGCCGCATATAGGCTTATTGAGACTGATATCATATCTGTTTGAGCACTTGACTTGTACTATAACAGTTCATACTTGTCAAATTTGATTTGTTGAAGTTGTTAGATAAAAATTTCTTCTCAATCTGAACTTCAAAATCTTGGCAAAAAAATTTTGTGATGATCTTATATTTGATTGCTTGAAGGCACTAGCTTCTGCCCTGTATTTATGCTGTGATAGCTTCATGAATAATTTTAAATATTTATTTGGGGTTCGATGATAACCCAAATAAATATTTAAAATGCCCCATGCCTTGAAGGAAAATTTCATCCGTCATCAGATTTTTGACATTTTTAAACTTAAAAATGCCCCTATCTTGTGCGAGAATTTCTAAGACATCTTAGAAATATTTTCTTCTATTGCAGGAGAATGATCTTCAACTTGTTTTTCTTAAGAATG